GTCACGATCAAGCCTCGAATTAGCAACCTTTCCTGCCCTACTAGTTTTATTGGTTGGTAAGCGCAAAGCTACACAATGGGCTATCTATACTGTGCCCACCTTAAGTATCAAACCCAGTTTTTAGCGTTATAAGTCCGCAAGCTTACCACTGGGAGACGCCCCAACAGTTAAAAAGTAGTGTTACAAATGTTCATCTTTATGGCTAATAATAATATTCTTTATGTAGAAATACTCTGTCAGATCTTTAAGTATGGATGCGGTCAACAAGTTCAAGTAAAATAGTTGATTCACAGTTATCCACAAAAAAAAATGACTTAATTAATGAAGTTTGACTCCCATTTCAACATAATTTATAGTGAGTTTTATAACTGGCATAACTCGAGTTTCTTATACACTAGCCAGTTTAAAAAAAATCTATAAATTGCGTCTCAAGTGAATATGACACACATAATCAAGAAATGAACACCACTGCGCCGACTCGTGAAGGCATTTTAAATAGAATGATGATGTCTTCCACAGTGAAATGAAGTTTGAAGATTTCCACAGTCCGTAACTGAAATGCTATTACTATGTTAAGAATTGTTTTATTTTCACAAGAAATATATTTTACAAAAAATAATTATTTCACATATTTATAGCCACCAATATCGTAAAAAGCCTAGTTAATGTCAGATGGACTTGCGATCATTTGGAACTATATTTATATACACGTACACGAGTTCACTGTCTCACATCTCTTCCAGGGGGGTGATCCGGGACATGTTGCTTCTCCCCAGTGAAAAAACTTGCCTCCGTATATCTATCCTGTCTGAAGCAGTTTTTGTTTTTCTTATTTTTTACTTCACATCTGACTAAATAAAGTTTTGAACACCTGCATCATTTTATACTCTTCAGTTTCCGTTTTGGAATCTTTTTTTTTTCCTTACAAAAAAATTTACACCTACTCATCCATTATCTATAGCCATTATACTCCACTGTTTGAACTCATGCCCGAATAGACGGTGTAACTCTCTGCTGGCCCGCCAGCCGTATGGGCTGTAATGAAATCACAGCTGGGGAAGAAGGGATCATTGTCTCACCTCGGGCTTCTAATTTGTTTTGTTGTGCTCGCCACCGGGATCGAACCCTGGATGTTAATATTATAAGTCTGCAAGTTTACCGCTGAGCCATGGGGAGCACTTACGGTTTCTGCTTTGAACTTACCCTTGTTTTATATTGAGTTTTACGCAGTACAGATAAAAAGTAATCAATATTTGCTTATAACAAACATCAATAAGAAGCTGGTTCCAAACTTCACTAACTCGTCCCAAAATTTAATAAGATGCTATTTCAGTATATTAAAAAGCACATAATATTCCATCACACAGTAACTACATAAAAAAAAATAATAATAATAATTTCAAGGAAAGATCTTTTATAGTCGCCCAGGCACCACCAGGGCATACAAGCACTTCAGTCCAGTTCTTTTGTTAATTACGTACTTATGCGTGATTCCGTTAGCTTATTGGTTATTTGCCCCCCCCCCCCTATCGTAACCTCGCACTACCCATACTGCACGAAACTAGTTTTTCCGTTTCAGTTACTTATAATGTATAATGTTATGGTATCACATATATGTAATTACATTAAAATAACATTTTATACACAAACTAGTCAGATTGCACGTTCTACGCACTGTGAGCATTTAACCTTAAAACTAAATGTTATGCTTAATTACGTAGTAAGGCGTAATTCTGTTAGCTAGTTGATTATTTGTTCCCTCTCTTCGTACCCCACACCACACCTATTGCAAGAAAATAGGGTTTTCCGTTTCAGTTACTTTATAGGTCGAAACTTGCCATCTTTCGCTTGGGCAGGACCGTTCTTGGCTAAATTCCTCTCTATAACAATCATTCTTAGATGGTGTTTTCAATTTATCTTTGTTTTTAATTATTTTTTAAATCTTTCTTTCATAAGTTATTATAGGTCTTTTTTTCACTTTCTGTTTATTTTCATATTGATGAAATTTCTTCAAATTATGTTTTCAATTTATTTTAATCTCTTTCTTCATGACTCCCCCCCCCCCCACCACACACACAAAAAGTGGTTCAGTGGTAAAAGTGCAGGTGTATGACTCAAAAACGCGGGTTTTGGTATCCGTGGTGGGAAAAGCACAGACAGCCCACTGTATAGCGTTGTGCTGAACAACAACTAAAACAAAATCCTGACCTTATTTTAATTTTCTGTCTGTCTTTTCTCGGTCTTCCTTTAATTTTCAGTAAATTCCTTCTTGATCATCTTTTAATTTATCCTTCTTTTAATTTCTTGTCCATTTCTGCTTGTTCTTTCCCGTGTTTCATCGTGTCTAGTAAATGTTTGATCTTTCTTCGAGTACGTGTCATCTTGAAGTTTAGACTACATATTATATTTTTATCAACATAATCCCACTCATGACAACAATGTTGTAATGAGTTCTGTCACTGGGCAAGTTCTTTTTGATTATTCTGTAAAAATAATGTAAAGTCCAATCCACTTAACGATAATGAGTTACTTATTTCTTCCCCTATAATGTACAGGCTACGTTGGCATGTAAGCCTAATTTCACAAGTAACGTTTCAATAGATATTCCGAAACTAATGATATGCCTGACACATAAATAAACCTCAAGGCATTTACTTACTTACAAATCTCTTCTCGTACCTACGACACAACTTAAAATTGGCTAACTAACACACTTAGTAATCAATAGATAACAGGTAACAAATTCATTAACAAACTAACCAGCTGACTGAATTAATTCTCTTTAACTCATTTAGTTTCGGACTAACTGATTAATTAACTGGATCACTCTCTGAATAACTCACTAACTCTGGTGTTTTTATATAATAGTTGTTTTCCCTATACCCCGAAGATTCGAAACACGGCATGAGGCTAAGATATTCAGGAAACTTCTTGGTGTCATGTCAAAAATGCCCTCTAGCGACCAAACCATCTAAATTAATATATTAGACACATAGCCTACAACGCTATAAACAAGAAAACTTTCTACGACTGCTGTCATATATTAAATTATTGCTTTCATATGGTATTACTACCATAATACTAACACAAAAACATTTCATCGTTACAGAACATACAACATAAATTTATACACTATGCTGGGGCCTTACTACATACATGTTTACATACACAATAGGTACGGTAATATATATTTACATAATACGGATCTACACGTATTACATTCCAAAAGTTATCATATTATGCTCACTTAAGGTGACTGATGTTAGAGACTTAGATCGAAAGACTAATCGTTTCACGTCATATTCTCTAAATATTAACCTTTATTTTGACATTAGTACAACTGTGATTGAAAGGAAAACTAAGTTAAAATCCATTAATTTTTTATACCCATACGTTTTCCGTATATTGCCTCTAGTGGAGTATATAATTATTTCTATAAAATTCTGCCAGGGAAAAATGTTCCTAACACGGAAAACGTACATAAAATAATAATACTGATCTTATCTAATCAATAATACTAATCTTCAGGATAACACACAAGTCTTTAAGCACGATTTATTTGTAAAAAAGTTACAACATACGTCTATACAAAAACTTCTTTTACATACATTTCACGCGTATGCTTTTTGTTAGGCTTAACTACTAAAATAATTTCTTTATATTGTTTTCTTTTAGTTTCTAAGTTTGATGAAGAGCATACACTAGAAACATAGGCAAATACAACAAGTAATTTTACAGATGTGTGTTGTAACTTTTTACTAATAATTCTTTCTATAGCAAGGTTAAATGTTATTTAGTACCTAAAATATTTCAACGGTGTTAGGCTTAATATAAAATAAACATCAGAATACAAGAAATAAATTGTTTCTAAACCTAAAAAACAAAAGCAGACAATTTACCAGTACTTGTTAATTAAAAGTGTTTAGAAATCGTTAGAAAAGCAAACACAACTTTGTACATCTTACACATTTCCAAAATATCAGAAAATCAGCTTGATTCGTATTTCACAAATTTCCTAACGGCGCCTTTAAATATCTCTGTTAAAGTTAACTTAAATTTGTTGCACATTATACCTCAAATAAGTAGTTATGATTAATTTTCTTGTACATACTTTACGGTACGTTTTAGGTACATTTAGTATACTTAGCTGTTAATTTTTTCTATGCACCACATAACGTGTGAAAGTTCTAGGAAGTGCCTTGTAATTTGTGACTGTGGCAATATAAGACAAGCTTTTGTATTCAACAGAAAATAACTTTTAACGTGTGTTGATACTCTAGCCGCCGGTGATTTTTTAAGCTCTTGTGATTTAGTTTAGAAAATAAATTTAAACGCGTCTTGATACTCTAAACGCCGGTTATTTTTTAAACCTCTAATAATTTAGTTAAAAATAAATGTGTGTTGACACTTTAAATGTTAGTGACTATTTAAGATCTTATAATTTAGCTGAAAATAAATTTAAATGTGTCTTAACACTCAAAATGTCTTTATCTTTCGAATATTAAAAAATTATCAAAAGAAAGGATCTTGAGCAACAAAACATTATCAAAAAGTAGATATATTCATGATACTCAAATGAAGTGAATCACAAAATAAAAAAACTCAATAATCGTGAGCGCTTTCGGTAGACAGACCTTCCTTCTTGAAGGGGAGCAGGTGTGGCTAGCGTGCTGAAACTATGAATCCGAGGGTTCAGAGTTCGAGACCTGTTGCCGAAGAAATCTGGCGCTCCACTTTAGGGCCATGGATGCGCTGTAAGTGTGACAGCGAAATCTAACTATTTGGTCAGACAAAAATAGACCAAGATTTGTTTGTGGTTGAATAGATGTTTTCTCTTTACTTTAGTCTATCAGTTCTGAATTAGGAATGAACAGCTACACACAGATAGCCATTTACGTAGCATAGCGCAAACTTTATGAAACAAACAAACAGGGAAAGAAGGCCTATTTTCCGAAAAATAAACAAGATTTATAAATAAAAGGATGCCTGGTTACACTTACCAATTATAGCGTGAACACGAACCGAAAGCTGAGTTCTCAGGATGATAGCATTCTTCCGACTGCAAAAATAATTTAGAAATTTTGTATTTACGCAAACCACATTTCTAATGAAGTAAAAAAGGCTTAAGTGTACAGTGGTTTTAAACACCAGATCTTAGTTATTGTATTCTGTTTCTTTGTAAGTAATTATAATTGGTAATTTAATTGTGTGGCTATAAACAATAAACTATCATTTTTTTGAACACACACACACACACACACACACATATATATATATTTATATGTATAAACTAGTTAACACATTTCCAAATAGAGGTTTATCAATAGTTAGAATTACACTTGCGACGTAACAATCAGCTTAATCCTGGGCTTAAAAGTACCAATTCTTTTTGTAAGTTACGTCAAGTGTAATCTCATTACACAGGCTATTTTGAAGTAACGATGTTTCAACTGTAATCTTATTACATCGGTCATTATGCTCATACCGCTACTGTCATGTTCCTCCAGGAGTGAGATATACCAAACGTGACAAACATTAGCACGAATAAACGACTACTTATGTACACGATAAGTTCGCTATATATATCTTGTAATACACTGAAATACAATAGAACTAACTTAAACCAACGCCGTCTTTCACCTGCAACGTTTACTTACAACGAACATCAGAATATTACTGAGAAAAACTTCAATCGCAGCAACGCAAGGGGGAAAGGGGATTCCCGACTACAGTTACAACGCAAAATAACATTTTAAAATATTTAGTATTAAATGCCATAAATAGTACAGGATTTCCCACTTATAGGTTATTTCAACATACATTTATAGGCGTGGTTAGAAATCCAATTCAGCAGCTGAACAACTTAAAAACACTGTATGTGTTTCGAACCTTCACCTCCTCTTCAAAATTGTGTAAATGCTACACGTTAGCAACACAGATTTGTAGAAACACTGATTTAAAAAAGATACCAGTGTATTCACATTATACAAGTATTCTTATACCAAACTAGAAATACCAATTTTATTGTTAATGTTTAATATGACAAAAATGATTTTATAGATTTACAAATTTGCACAGAAACAAAATCGTAACTAATGGAGCTTCATTTCAGTAAAAAATCTGTGAGAATTTGAAGCAAAAGGTATAGTAATCTTTAGTTTGTATGTGGATTCGCCACATGTCACTAAGTTGGTGCGATTTCGCGAATTCGCCCGTCGTCAAATATCTTTAAATATACTTATAGTATTTTGGCACTTTTGTATAAAGTTAAAATCATAAATAATATTCAACGTTAAACTGGTACACAATTTTATTTAGGCCTACCTATGGCCTTCAAAAAGTTGACGACTCTACATGTTTCGACGTTACAACGTCATCCTCAGGAGTGAATTACAAGACAATTGCCAAAGTATTTATAGCTTGTTAGTAGGTCATTGACCTGTATGTTATTTTTCATACATTCACGCTAAACCATTCACAGAAGATCAATCCACATTCTTGCAGAAATATTCGCCAAACCTTCATCTCTATTTAATACTACAAGGACTCGGTGATAAGTCTGTAGGTTTTCGACGCTCAAAGTCGGGTTTCGAAACACGTGGTGGGCAGATCACATGTAGCCCATTATGTAGCTTTGTACATAACAACATCCAAAACAAATAACCCCAAACAAGAGGTTACAGTCTGTATATACTATATTTTAATTTAACTTATATTAATGCTAGTGTTGAGGTATAAGCTATGACTTAATTTTTTTTTTTTTTTGGTATCCCTAGTTAACTATTCTAACGCATATATCACCATATGGCTCGTTTGTGTTTTAAGTGCAAAGCTGCATAACTGATTACCTGCGCTGTGTTATAAGCCTTCAAACTTACCACGGAACCATGGAGAGGGAGAAGGAACACCAGTTATAAATCCATGGTCCCGTTTTAAGAATTCTTTAACTGAAGAAGAAACTGTTGTGCGAAACATGGAAGTAAGACTGTGTAGTAGAAGTATAGTTAACCAATTGGCTATGGTTTAGAAAAGAAACATTTACTACGAAAAGTACTTTCAGCACTTTGTTAGTGTGCAAGTACTGTATATAAAAGCAGATCTTTATTGGGTTTGTAAGAGCACTTGTACAGAGTCAGCGTGTTGAAGTTTCGCAAGTTTGCACAACAAACTCACCTGTCTGTAAGTTTGTATAGCTCCGCACCTTGTGAGGCTTCAACTTGTCCCGTTTGTGCAAACTTGTGGACATAATCATAAGAAGTCACTTTTATGTTTATCTGTATTCGTGCCAAGTCGTACTTGAAGAAACATATATCAACATATATATGTTTCATCCTCTTCAAGTCCTAGTTATATATCGGTATTAATAAGGCACTGGTTGCTCGATTTAGTATTGGCCTGGAGGGTAACAGTCTAAAGAAAATTACAGTGTCTTCGATGAGCCTTCGTAGTTGTAGGCCCGGCATGGCCAGGTGGTTAAGGAGCTCGACTCGCA